AAAATAGTTTGAGACGATACTCCCAAAGAAATACCAACTTTTCAGGGCAAAATAATTATCACCCAAATAATCCCCACAGATAAACTAATTCAGGTCAAAATAGTCAATATCGTAGTAATAACGGTTACGGCAATTCTGCAAGGCAACCTGTACAGAATGGCACTCGGCAATCAAGACGCTCAAATGGCCCAACACCCATGGAGGTTGACGTTATGAGCAGAACAGAGGAAACAAATAACAACGAGGAATTTTTTAAAAATTAACCTCGGAAAATCAAAATAAAATTTTAATTTCACCCACTCTATTTAATAAGAAATGGTGTGCATTAGTAGACTCAGGCTCTACCATAAGCATAATGAAAAGAGCGAGTTTCGAAAAGTATAATTTACCAGTTTTAGAAAAAAATAAAACAATAATCAGTACACTGAATGGAGAAATAAGGGCGATGCTCAAAATGCAAGAATGCGATGGTTAAAAATGGGGAATGATTTTATATTTAAAAATGTTTAAACGATAAACATTGAAAACAAAGAAATGACATTGAGAAATGGTGTCAAGCTTCCATTCCATACGAAAATTATGCAGGAGCAAGTTTACTCGTTGGAAGAAAGTGAAGTAAGTAACATTTAACTCGACCATTTAAACCCAGAAGAAAAGATAAAAATAAGTAAACTATTAAAAAAGTACGAAAAACTAATTTATAAAGAAGGAGATGATCTGACAAACACGAATACCGTTGTTCATGAAATTAGAACAACAACGGATCAGCAAGTTAATTCTCGAATTTACAGATTGCCCCCCAAACATGCGGACGAGGCGGAAAGCCAAATTGAAGAAATGGAAAAGCAAGGAATGATAAGAAAAAGTCGAAGCAAATACAGCTCACCAATAATAATTGTGCCACAGAAATCAGATAGTTCCGGTATAAAAAATATTTCGATTAGTAGTTGATTACAGGAGGTTAAACCAAATTACTGTTAACGATAAATGTGCTCTTCCAAATATTGATGGAATTTTAGATAAATTGGACAAAGCACTGTACTTTAGCACCATAGATCTAGCTAAAGGTTACCATCATGGATCCTAATGGCAGAGAAGGATATAGAGAAAACAGCTTTTGTGACTCCAGCAGGCCTGTATGAATACGTCAGGATGCCGTTTGGACTTAAAAATGCTCCAGCCACTTTTCAGAAATTAATGAACGACATCCTAAGGGAACATATAATATTAATAAAATATGTGTAGTCTATCTAGATGACATATTAATATTTTCTACGTCACTAGAAAACACATACATTCTCTAGGAAAAATTTTTTCAAAGCTTCAGGAAAATAACCTAAAAATCCAAGCAAATAAATGTAGTTTTTTAAAAAGAGAAACCGAATTTTTGGGCCACGTTTTGACAGAAGACGGCATTAAGCTAAAACCCAGAAAAAGTTTTAGCCATTCAAAATTTACCAATTCCAACAACAGAAAGGCAATTAAAAGGGTTTTGGGGGACCACAGGCTATTACAGAAAGTTTATTAAAGATTACTCTAGAATAGCTTACCCAATGATAAAATATTTAAAAAAAGATAACACAATAAATCCGAGAGATCCTCAATATATAGCCAGCTTTGAAAATTTAAAACCCCTTATCTCATCACATCCAATTTTAAAATTTCCTGAATATGACAAAAAATTTACAATTACTACGGATGCAAGCGATTACGCTATTGGAGCTGTTCTTTTACAACAAGGCCAACCAATATGCTTCATCTCGAGAACACTAAACAATCATGAGTAGAAATATGCGACGACAGACAAAGAATTCCTTGCAATCATGTATGCAGTGACTTATTTTAGACCATACATATACGGAGCAAAATTTAAGATAGTAACTGATCACTGCCCGATTAAGTATCTAAATAACAAGTATAAAGGGAAAGAATTTGCACCACGACATCAAAGGTGGCTTCTAAAACTCCAGGAGTACAATTACGAAATGGAGTATGTAAAGGGTAAAGATAACGTAGTAGCGGACTTCCTAAGTTATCGACAAACTGACAAAATTTGCGGCAGCATACAACATAACTGATAGAAATTGGAGGGCAAAGAAGGCTATTATAATTGAACATTTCGCGAAATTTGGAAAACCAAAACAAATCATAATGGACAATGAATTCAAGGCCGAATAGTTGATACAGTTCTTAAATGCAGAAGGAGTAGAGGTACACCTAACAAAACCAAATTCCCACACAGGTAATGCAGACATTGAGAGGCTGCACTCAACCCTGTTAGAGAAACTGAAATGAGGATACAGATCGTTATAGGTAACTATAATGACCGATATCACTCAACCATTAAATGTACACCCAATAACGCAAAAAATAGTATAGATCCAACCAATTAAAAAAAAACAATAGACCAGGTGAAACAACACATAATACAATAAAGAAATAGGAGTTGTGGCATAAAAAGAGGAAGCATTAATATTCGCTATACAAATCCCAAGAAGTTTTTTTAAAGAAAATGTAAAATTAATTACGCCATTACCTAATAAACAAAACTTGTAAATAAATCAAGAAGATGAATTAATTGTAATAATAAATAAAGAACACTATGATAATATAACTATAGTTATTCTCATTTTAAGAAAACAAAGTAATAATGTAAATTTTAAAATTATAAATAAAAGAAGTCAGGAGACTTCTCAGAGTGGCTTATATTATATTATGTATAACGACGGCATGCACTGCACCACATCGCATGATCCGCCAATACGTGACTCAAACAGCAGACTCAGCATATTTTCAGCTTGCTGGAATGTGCGGTACAGCCGGTCATAGCAACAAGCTCGAGTTGCCGATCTGGTGTGAAGCCGGTCTGATTTGAGAGCCAAAAGAAACGAGTTGTGTTTTATTTAGTTGTTGAGTGGTTATTACTAAATATGTAATTCGCACGAACCGTGCAATCAAAGCTAGTCAACGAGTGTCTGTCCTAACAAGAGATAGCATCTGGATATTTTAATATCAGGCTCGTTTGGGAGCCTGGTCACAGCGGAAACGCTGGAAACTGCAAAGCCGATGAGCTAGCCAGGGGAGAGTTGGATCTCCGTTAACGTCTTGTGTTCTAGCTTTGGATCAATGGACTTCGCGTGCACTCAGCAGACGCTGGTCGACGACCAACTCCTGTGCGACCGCGAGATCCTTCTGGCCAAGAGTGGAGCGCAGGAGGTGGGGGGAACTTCTCTCCCTGAGCAAAGTGTTCTCACTGGACACTGTCCAATGGACACTCATCTGGTACGGCTTAGAATACTACCCGATGCTAGTTGCCAAAGGTGCATGGAGGAGGGCGAGGTGGAATCATCCCGGCACTTTCTCCTCCAATGTCCGGCTTTCGTTCGGCTGAGATTGAAATATGTCGGCAATCACACTTTTGGCGGACCTGAATACTTAGCCAAAATGGATATTGGCCGTCTTAACAAGTTTGTTGTAAGCACAAAGCGTTTCGTCGACTTGTAAGGGTCTTTTTATCCAGAGTATAGGAGTTTTGTAGGTATCACAACGGACCGGCGTCTTAAGCTGTCCAAGTGGGATCCTTCTTGGGATCGACCTCCTAACCTAACCCAACCTAACCTACTAGTGATCAGTGCAGAAGCCTTTGAAAATGGTAAAATGTGAAGGATTTAAACGATTCAAAGCTGTTTTTTAATTTAACTTCTCTATTATTTCGTGGTAGCAGCAATTCAGTAGGGTCTTGTGAATTTTGTGATAGTAATTTATATATTATTAATACCACTAGAAATTATAGACCTTTTAAAAAAAATCAGATATTTTGACGAGAGAACTTTTGATTAGTGATTTTTTCGATTTTAAGTCAAAATGAACTCGTTAGCTTTATTTGCAACATCGCAATCGCCGATGCCGATTAACCGGTCGAACTCTATTAAGTACAATTATTATCAGAAATATCTAATTTTAGGGAGTATACCTTCAGAATCATGACCCATAAAAAAATAAAACATGAAAAAATATGCATTACATAGATATGTACATGTGTAATATTGAATAGATTTAGTCATAGGATGGTTGATTTTTACTACGCAACATTTGTATTACATTCATCGAATAAGTTTGATTTATTTGACATTTTCAAGAGGCAGAAATACAAATAAAATGGGGGCGTTTTTGACGATGACGTGTTTCTCAACCTGTTTTTTTGTATTATATTGAAAGCACCACAATGTGAACTACTTACCGAATACTCGGGTAAATGAATGAGATATAAAATATAGCTGATTGCATCATATATAACTTGTTTCTAATTATTTTACTTAAAAGGAAACCACCATATAAATACTGATAAATTATATGAATTTAATATTATATTATAAATAATAACGTATATTTAAGTGAATAAAATTTTGCACCACTTATGCCACATGCGTATGTATATATGTGTGGTAGTAATTTGGAACATATATAGTATACAATTTTTAACTAATCTTGATATACCCTTACATTATATAGCACAGGCTAACTTATTCAAATGAAAATTCTATTATATACATATATGATTTTCTAAATTAAATAGGCTCTGAGGTGAATACCTTCCCATCTCCTGTCTGTGGTTAATTGAGTTCGATTAAAAATCGTAAATAACTAATTTTAAACTTGAGCGATGGAAAAAAACGAAGTTTAAACTGTGATGGAGAAAAAACTACATTTTCATTTACACATTTTTGGAACATTCTCCTTCTGGAACATTTCTTTCGAAATATTTTTACTAATTGATGGCAGAACTAAGAAATTTGAGATGTTATAATAGAGAAAAGCATTGCATATGCACATGGCACAAAAACTATATTAAAGTATTTAATTCAAGTAACATAAATATGTATATATGCAAGGGTTTACCGAAACATTATTAACTGCCAACTTTTTCTTTTAAGTTACTTTTAAAACCATATTGTGAATACGCATATGTGTTATCTCAATTTAAACTAGTATTAACTTACAGAGAACGGAAAGCTGAACGGTCGACCGCAACGGCATATCCGGAGGCAACGCCTTGTGTTTCGCTTGACAAGTATATTCCATAAAATCATCATCGGCATTTGGTTTTATATTTAACGTAGATTTTGTAGTGTAGCGTTTTGAGGAAGTCTCTTCAACTTTATCAACGCGGCCTAAAAAATATGAAAATGAAATAGTAATTTGTAAAGAATATAATTATTTGAACGATTATTCAAAGCCATTGAGGAACATTAGAAATTTATTCAATGTATCAATTGTAACGTACTAGGATATAAAAAAATTTATTAAAATGCCTATAAATTCAGGGCATATGTATGCTACATTTCATAATTGAGGTACAGATCTTTTCAATACATTAATTAATATCGGTGACTTTTCCTTCAAATTGTAATCGTTTCCTAGTCCCTTCACAGAAGATTATTCTAGAAACTCAAATTTTCAAGTTAACTTCAACATTCTTTTGTAGATGTTATTAAATATATACATGAAACTTAATTTAAACATAACATTATGCCGGTAACTCTTTATGCCACATATACACATAATGTACTACAAAAAGTGATATATTATATCTATATATTTTATAGTTTAAACGACTTGTAAATTCTATAAGTCAGACTGCTACTAATGCAGATAAAAAATAAGAAAGCTTGCCTTTTACCATATATTCGAATTACGACTGATTTGATATTTTAGAAAATGATAGGCAAATTTCATAAGTTAATACCAAAAAGTAACAGATATATTGAATTCCAGCTTAACTTCGAAATAACAGTTATATCAAAACATTACAACTCTTAAAAAAACTAATATGAAATCTCAAATCAAATGTTTGGGTTTGTTCCAGTTGCAATCACAACAGCTGTGTTGATTTTTTAAAGTATCACGTTCGATGTGCAATTATGGCAACTTTGGCAAAGGTATCGTGTTCTAGCTATCAAAAATTGCATTACTGCTATGGAAGACGAAAGGTGAGCAGTTATTTATAATAAAATATATTATATTTAATTTATAATATACATATGCACATCATATATCTAATAATATTTGTGTGTATTTTATATTTCAGCGAAAAATATAGCAGTTAAATAAATTACTCATGCAATTGCTCGATCTATGCTAAACAAATGCCGAAGATCAAAAAGAGTTCAGTTTAGTAGTTGTAACATGGTTTAATGGCTACACACTTATCTTTATTTCTAATTCCAACAACTTAACACTTATTGCTCGTTATTCGAGCTTACAACTTCTTACTTATAGCTTAATTGCTCTTATCACGACAACACTTTAACTAGAACTGTGTTTGCTGCACAATCCGGCAGCCCTTATATAGTAAATCTGTAACAAAATATTGCTTCTAGAACATTCTGGCAACTACGAATTCGCTAACTAGATGCTTCTGGCAGTTTATCGTTGATTCGATTTTGTTCTATCATCCGTGTTCGTCACACTGCCCTCCACCTAAGTCTGATCGTCCCGATTAGACATATTTGCGATACAAAACACAAAGCTTTTATGTCCCCCATTTCGTTGTTGTTGTTGTAGCGTCAGAATTCTGCCGAGTTGATAGTCCTTGGCCGGAACAAATCCGGCTCCGTTCCGGTTACGTAGACCCGACTGTCGTGGTGCCCTCCCCCATATCGTCTTCTAGGCTGGTGCTGACACCGTTAGCCGTCCTTCTCTTCTTGGAGTTGATTCCATCCGTTTTCCGGATACTCAGTTTTTGGTACATCCCTTGACTTAAAGATGACTTGAGATTCCATTCTTGATCAGAACGTAACTCCATTGGAACACCGAATCTCGTTACCCACTTGTTGATGAATGCCTCCGCCACTGGTTTAGTCTCTTGGTTAGGAATAGTGTATACTTGTGGCCATTCGTTGAAATGGTCCTTGACTACCAAAACATGACTATTTCCTAATTTATTGGTGGGGAATGGACCATCTTCATACACGCCTATTTTCTCAACTGGCGCACGCGAATTGTGCTGTTTCATCTGCCCATGACTCCTGGACCTTGATCTTTTAGCTACAATGTTCTCAACATATTTCGCAATCCTTTCTATAGCTGATTGACAACCAGTCCAATAAAACCTTTGCTTCAAATGCTCCAAGGATTTCATGTCTCTCAAGTGCCCTCCTCTTGGACATTTGTACTGCACGTTAAGAACATCATTAATTCCAACCCTTGGAACAACCATAAGTACTCGGAAGGTTTGCCCATTTTCACTTTTCCATACTCGATGTAAGCAGTCATACACTAACTTTAAACTGCTCCGTTCTGCCCAATATGATTTTGTTACTGGCCTTCCTGTAGTTATTTCTCCAATCGTTGTACATTGGTTCAACTCCACCTTATGTAATGCACCTTCCAATTCTGGATCTTCTTGCACAGAGTCATCCGTTTCAGGTTCAATTTTATGCTGATCTTCCACCTGTGATGGTATACACGCCTCCTGCTCTTCCAACTGTAAGGACACTTGTGCTGGTATCCAAGCTTTTTGCTCTTCTAACTGTGAGGAACCATTTATTGGTTCACACGCTTCCTCCTCTTCCAACTGTGGGAACACCTGCCCTGACATACGCAGTTCCAGCTCTTTCGACTGTGAGGACCCTTGTACTGGTACACACACTGCCTCCTCTTCCGACTGTGAGGACACTTGCGCTGGCATACGCCCGTTCAGTTCTTCCGACTGCGAAGACACTTCTGCTGGTATACAAGCTTCTTCATACTGTGAAGATCCTGGTTCACATGCTTCCTCCTCTTCCAACTGTGAGGATACCTGCGCTGACATATGCACGTCGAGCTCTTTCGGTGCTGACAACTGTGCTGAAAAACGTGCATGTTGCGCTGCGAACAGCTCTTCCAAATGCGTTGACAATCGCGTTTCTTGCTCTTTAATTTGGGTCGATATTTGCGTTGACATTTGCGATATTGCGGCAAAAACCATGTCTATGTCCACAATCTTTGACAAGCATTGAGCCTCTTCCTTTTCTTCTATCTTTGTTGTCTCTTCTTCTAATTCCATGTGAAAGACATATTCCTCAAAATTAATGTTTTCCGCCTCCATGGCCTCTCTCAACCGTGATTGTAATTCAGTTTTTAATCCATTTGTCGCCAAACCACGTTGCTCCAGCTCCTTTTTCAGTTGTGGAATCTTCAGATCGTTAAACTTGGCCATATATAAATAATTATCTCCTTGGGAATTTATTTGACAATCCCACTTCTGACACCAATTGTAACGGATTTCTCGATAAATCGTCTACCTGTAACTCCTCAGTCCCAATTTAATAGCTACACACTTATCTTTATTTCTAATTCCAACAACTTAACACTTATTGCTCGTTATTCGAGCTTACAACTTCTTACTTATAGCTTAATTGCTCTTATCACGACAACACTTTAACTAGAACTGTGTTTGCTGCACAATCCGGCAGCCCTTATATAGTAAATCTGTAACAAAACATTGCTTCTAGAACATTCTGGCAACTACGAATTCGCTAACTAGTTGCTTCTGGCAGTTTATCGTTGATTCGATTTTGTTCTATCATCCGTGTTCGTCACAATATTTAGATTCAAATTTAATTTTCAAATTCTGGAGGGTTACTTCGAAATACGGTGGAATTCTTATTTACTTATGACTAAATCTGCAGGAAAAATTTTTTTGGTCCGATATCCAGTCGAGTGTTCTACAGTGTAATTAAATATACAGCCCTTCCTTAACCCCGATAAATAAGCCTTGGTTTTTATTGGAGGAATACTACAAAAATTACATCGTTCTATTTTGAAGACATGAAAAAATATATGTATGTGATACATAAATAACGTTGGTGTTTATTAATTACCTTCTTTAAATTCCACGTTTCCACGATACCAGATGATTTGTGCGGCTGGCTTTGCATTTCCAACAACACAGTTCAGTGATAAATCTTGATTTTCCCTTACCTCTACTTTCGAATTCTGAGCATAACCTTGTATTTCAATATAACCAGGTGGTGCTGAATAAAAAAAACATAGACAAAAATTAGAACAATTAAAAACAATTAAGTAAGTATAAAATGATTGAATAGAATTTTTAAATTTGATATGATTTTTAAATTAAAATCTCATACCGTAGTTTTGACTAATTTAAATTCTTGAACATAAAATTAATTGGACTCAAAGGTATACATTATACATTCACGATATCAACTCAATAATGCAATTATTTATACATATTTGGTGAACATATTTTATTAGCTGCGAAAAGTATTTTGAAAATTACATTACACATTACATTAACATTTTGAACACCATGGGAGGAAAGGATTCACCGTAAAATATCTTTAAAACAGTGCGATATCTTTTTCAAAAGCAGCGACTGCTCTTTTTTCCATTTTTCGCTTCACGCCTGATTCCACGCGCGCTTAAAACAAACTACTAGTATGTATATTTTAATTGCCTTTATATCATACAGAGAGGACATTATATAATATATTTTGAAGTATTGAGTGAATATGTTTTAAGAATGATGTTATCAATAACCAAAACGTTTAGAAAACTTTGAAAATTAAAATGCTGGGCACAAGGTGAGTACTCATTTTCACAGAAACGGAGCACAAGCACCTCAAGACTGTCTACATATATATGTAAGTAAAATTTTCCTTCTCAAGTCTGACAACTTATTTTCTAAATTTTGTATCGATTTCTATAGTTCACTATTCATACCTAAAATATTAAAATATATTATAGCTTTACAACTATGTATACAATATAGATATTCTAAGTGATATATTAAAAACAGATTTAAAAGAATTTTTCAAAATGTTTAAGACAAAGGAAGGTAAGTTTGCACCAAATTTTGTGAAAGAAAAAATTTTTACAAGATAAAAATAAAAAGCCCAAAAACTTGGTTATTTGAATTTTTATTTTTCCTCTCATTTTTGTTATTTTATATAATATTTCATTTTCAATAGGTATCATCCTGCTATAATTTTTTTTTGCTTTCAAAAATTATCTACCCTAATCTATAACTATAAAATGGAAAATTGAGAAGGTTGAAGTTAGGTAATGATTTTAGAGTCATGGTTTTGATGTATTTGTAATGAATTTATAACACAGAAACTTTTTTAAACTGGGCACTGCTAAATTTTCGAAGTCACTCTACAGATGTAAAAAACCCTTAGTATTTTTCTTACCTATTACTGTTAACCTTGCATTTGCTCGTATGGCTGAGTGAAGACGTGCTGGGCCCACTTGGCACTGATACTCCGCATCGTCAGTAATAGACGCATTCGATATCCGCAGATTATATACACCTTGATTTCGATCACCCAAAACCGAATATCGTGGAAACCCAGGAATAACAGCTGAGAAACCTAGTGCGAAACCGTCTTTTGTCCACTGTACAGCACCTGCTTTATTAGACACTTCGCAGCGCATCATAGCTTCCGCACCTTCTAATACTTGAAGATCGTATGGAGTAACCCTGAACTTCTGTTGTTGAGCCAGTATAGGTGAAAGAAACACCATATGCAGCAGGATGAATAAATATACTAAAAATAAATAAATAATCAAACTTGAATTCATTGTATAATAAACGTAATATTTATTTGATTTCTAATGTCTATTCAACATACAAGTATATTGTTTTGAAATTTCTGCATTTTAATATAATATCCAAAAAACTTAATGCTAATTTATAGAAAGGTTCACAAGTTGTTTTGAAAACAAGCGCTTTTACCAACAGTACGTAAAATTAAATGGTTTTTGACAAAATTCACCCAACCGTAAATATAAAAATACACTATAAAACGATTTTGAAGACACGGACTAACCAAAAAAAAAAAAACAAAGCAATTAAACAATAGTGGGAACTCCGCTGAAGATGGGAATATGCAACAACTGAAATAACACTGTGAGAATATAAAAGCTCACAGTCATACCACTAGAACTACTCTGCACCTAACATATATAACATACGAGTACGTACTCATATGTACATATAAATACTTATATAAAACAATATAAACACATGACATTTGCATACACATACACGCATACACTAGTCTCTATTTACCATAATATACATGAAACAACTAAGGAATGGTGCACCGGTGTCGGGTGTAACCGAACATTTAATACTCTTGCAACTCAAGATCAAATCCGGGGAAATATGTACCGAAAGAATTTAACACTCGTTGTCCGATAAAATTGAATGGTGTACAATCAAATTTGTATCTTATTATAGTTTTATAACTATATTTTACTTCCCGTCAACGAAAACTACATTAAAATTATCTTTACATAAGATATATCTGTCATAAACTCAAACGAAAATGCTTAATTTAATATATTGAGTTGACATGGAAAACGCCATCCAGAGGATCGGAATTTATTATATTAAGGATATGAGGTGTGGAGCAAGGACTAAACTAATTCCATTCATATTCAGCGATAAACCACATAATTTTAGGAAAGATCGTCCACCTAAACTTATTAAAATATTACATATTTTGACCAACCTAAACCATAACACATTAACGAAACAAAAAATTACATCTGAGTTTTATTAAGGTACCTCACATACCAATATATGCGGGATAATATCAACCGGATATTTTAAAATCCTGATATTAGTTATACGGCGGCTAGGACAATCACCCGATGTTATCCATTTTTTGCACAGAGACACCTTGTTATTAGGAAAACACGCTCTTCCAATTTCATTAAGATAACTAACATATTAACAGATATTTGAGGTATAAAGTCAGTCGGAAGTTTGAAAATTTTTCTATTAGGTATATGAGGAATAAGGGAATTTAAAATTGTGTTATATCAGAAATAGGCGTGGGTGTAGTCCGATTTTTTCTTAACGACTTTAAATTATGGTTGATTATTTGTTCTGCTACTACTATAATATAAACTCTTTGTAATTAAAACTTATTTTCTACTTTTTAGTTCGCTGAGCTATAAAAACGTGTTTTTTTAGTTTTTTAAACTATTATTTTGGTGTCGGTAGGGCTGCTTAAGGGATTTGTTCTGAGCGAATTTGGTTATAATAGCTTTAATGGTTTAGAAAATATGTGCATTAAACCTCTTAGATGGCAGGGACACACCCAGTTTTCAAAATTTTCAGCCCCCAGGTGCCACTTGCTACTGCGATCTCCTGTGCCAAATTACAGTATTATTATCTTCATTTTGTGCTTAGTTATGGTGCTTTAAGTTTAACTTTAACTTTAAGTCTTCGTTTAATGGCTATTATACTCTGTAGCAGCATGTTGCAATTGTATAAAAATAATATAAAATATTGCGACATTAGTAATGTGGTGGAATGAGTTAATGGATGTAAAAGGCCATCGTTTTTAAGAACTCTTTTCGTTGGCTAAACTCAAGATCATTATTAAATAAGTTGCCGATTATAGCAATCGTCCAACATTTTAACTTCATATTTGCAGAACGAAAGGGGTTCAAAATCCAGTTTTGTGGGAGTTTTGATATTTTTAAACATAACAACCTCTTTTGAACAACCATTGCGTTCATGATTTTCGGGGCTTATATGGTCTGTTCGGTATTTGGTAAACCATTTTAGTTCTTAAATTCATACCAGCAAAAACTCATTTGCTCAAAGGCCGAACTCAAGGTTTTATGTTAATATTAAGGGGATTCGATATAGAAACAATTTATCGTTATTACTAAAAGCAAGCATTTTAGGCTATTTTGCAGAAGTTTTCATATTTGTTGGGGTGTATACAAATTTTTAAAATATCAGTTCTAGATATGTTCAAACTGTAATATTTGTCGTGTTGCTCTTGCAACTTTGGTTAGATATATTTTATTGGAAAATATTTCCATTATGAAATCGTAAGATGAATGGAAATAAATGGAAAATAAATCTCTTATTACCAAAACAGATATTATAAGCCATATGTATAAATTTTCATAACGTAAAAATAAAATTTAAAAGACTATATGTTTTGAACTTTTAAATTAATAAAATTAGTTCCCTAATATCCCAACTCACTTTTAGTGACCACCCTTATATCAATTATGACCCACTGATATCTTGATTGCCAGCAGATTAATCAATAACACAGCTCTATACAAAAATATGCTTTTTGTTACCCTGGATATCTTAGCAAATTTTGATGGGATCGTCCTATTATGATAGGTAATGCTGGTTCTTAAAAACTGAAAAATTATAAAGGAAAAGCTCATAACAGGACATGACATACTTGATTTTTCGATCATTACGAAATCTTTTCGACATACACGACATACAGATCCATTTAACGTTTGAGCAAAGATGTGCATGAATCAATCGCATAATTGAATTGTACTTTTTATGATTCTCGTATAAATTTATTATGAAAGCATTTTTATGTATTTGACTGTATTTAAGCAATAAACTATCTCAGCATTTTTTTTCATTAAATTTTACTTTTATTTTGTCAGTTTTTGTGCTTTAAATGAGCAATTGTGTGCACACAAACCTATAGACGAGTAAATCTCAATTGCGCACACACCGATCGATTTGATCCGTTATCAGGATATGAAAAAAGCAGCATTATTACGAAACCAATGGATTGAATATTCTTGATCCCATATCCAAAACTATATTACAATCTTTAGGTAATATGTCTTAAATTCCAGAAAATTTTTAAATTAATGTCGATAGATCAATCACAGAATTGAATTTTATAAAGAAATGAGTGACAATTTAAGATAGCCTCACAATAAGGCTACATAGTACAACTTGTTGAGCAATTATAACTTCAAAAATATTATAATTATATTACTAACTCAATAATCTTCAATTTAAAAAATCAGAAATCTCTCTTATTCAGAAAAAAAATATCTATTGAGACAACGAGAATCTGTTTAAACAAGATTTCAATATATTAAAATCTGCAGTATTATAAGGGCTATTGAAGGAGGGTAATTGAAGGTTTTATTTCCAATTTACCTCAAATATGCACCATTTTTTTCGATAACTTGACAACCTTCTCTTTAGGCGAAACCAGCAAATTCAGGAGCCAGGTCCTGACTATAAGAAGCAAGCATATGAAAAAGTTTTGAAAACCTTAGCCGAATAAAATCCGGGTCGATTTCGATAACAGAGCACAATTCTTCTCATATTGGTCAAAGCAGTCTTCTAAACGATTGTAGACGTAGTAGACGTCTCCCTGCCAATCCCACCAAGCACATAGCAAAATCTGATTCCTAGCTTTATCATCATTTGCACCGGCTCTCGACGATTCGCAGATAGAAATTCGGTCTATAAGGTTTTTTTACGTTAGCGCGTGTGACATCCATACATTGAAGCACCGGACTCGCCGATTATCATCATTTTAATATTAATTTAATAATTTTGACATCTGATCTTCTAGAGCGTGCTGCATCTTTGACATCAAAATTACCGGAACGAAATCGACGAAACTAAAATTGGCTGTTACAGTATCAGGACAACAAAAACTATCACGCCTGATTTTCGTTTTCACTTTTATCGAATTATCTTCCATCTTTGACGCCTATTCGAACAATATCTAGTCAAGCAATCACAAAACTGTCCGAAACAATGTGATATACAGATTACTAAAGTCATTAATTGCAGAAATAATGAAATTTTTGGATAGAACTTTTATAAAAAGCGCACAAAAATAAGTTAAACTCCACAAAATAGAATATACAACATCCATTTATTAAAACAAACAAGGTTTACTGTTTCGCGCGAAGTTATTATAAGGTAATTATTGTAGCATTAGTAAAATTTATGTAGTTCATTGAGTCGTTATCTTAAAACTATAACTAAAACAAAACATTATATGTCACATATTATATCGCTATTTTTTTGTAGATATGTGTGGTAAAGCAAAATATAATAGAAAATTGAAATTGTGAGGAAAAATATTGCTGAAATTTTGAATATGTAATATTAATTAATATTTACGAACATATATTCACATATTTTTAGTTATAAGGGGAATTTATTAATAATAAATGGAAAATATTATATATGTAAAATTCTTTTACAATATTTTTTTTTT